GTGCCAGTTTTGGGGAGATTTGGGGTTCCCCAATTTTGCCAACTGCCCATTTGAATGGATCTGTACCCTGGACCTGTACCCTTTTACTTTTTGTTTCGCTTTTGCAATGGCAGCACCAAGCCGATGGGCTTCAGGTTTGTTCGAGTTTGTTGTGAGTCTAGGGGGTCTTGGTCCGGAGCCTCCGAGCCCCGAGCCGCTGTCGGACCTGATCAATTTATGTCCACTTTGGGAGGAAACTCCCTCCCCAAGAAGCTGGGTGTTTACATTTGGGGACGTCATGTGAAATGAAAGCAGTTGGAGCATAGGCGCATGGAAGTTCGCCTTGAGGGAGGCGTAGTGAGGTGAACCAAGGTATGCCTAAGAATTAAGAATGCCAGCATTCCCTCGAGCCCGCCCTCCTCGATTGGGTATAGGAACCTTTGTAGTCCCTTTGTAGCCCCCACAAAGAAGCCAGGCACTTCAAATTTTGGAAGAACCACCCAACGTCGCTATATGTTCAAAACGAAACGGGCAATGACAGGGTCATGCATCGAGCCCTTCTATTTGTGTGTAAGAGCTCCCCCTCCAACTTGGTCTTACACCTTCCAATTTTGTGAACAACTCCCAACCTTTGCGTCACCGGAACCCCCTCCCAACAACCTGATTGAGCCTCAAACGCACACAAACACAAACCCAGTTTCATCAAAACGTTGGTTTCCCCTTAAACCGACCTGAAAACGGGTACCCTTACAAAACACAAGCCCAAAACACAAGCCCTCAACCTCGCCCTTTATCACCTTGTGATCGACCTTTTGCTGCTCGGAGGCAACACTCGTTTATCACACTTTTTGTTGCCGAGAAGCGCCGAACATTTCATAGGTAAACGGCCCTGCAATCAACAATGCGCCCTCCTCTCGAAAACACGCATTTGGCCCCACGCTGACTCAAAGAGCGTGCGTACTACCCCGCGTCTGCCGACCGGTAGATCCCCTTAGTGTGTAAGCACTCTTTGGGGCAAACTCATAAAAACGAGAAGCCAGCCGCCCACCACTTCCCCCTGCGACTTAGGGACGGCGGCTGTGGCCCAAAGCTGCCTGCAGCTTTGGGCTGCCAGGTCCCGACGTCTGGCGTGCGGCAGGGCGCGGGCAAAGGACATCTCCAGGACCGGCTCGAGTCGGATCGCGACACATTTGGGTGCGTCGTTTCAACCGTAATTTCATTGTTTCTATTTTTTTCTATTTTTTATATTATTTTTATTTTTCTCTCCCTCTGGGGCCACAAAAAACGGGGCACCCTCAAACAACACAAGCCCTTTAACCTTTACGCTATGACTTTCTACTCAGGCTGATTGGTGGACGTGACAAATGCAAGCCTAAATCAAAAGGCCCCCTATTAGTTCAAGCTTGCACCAATCTTCCTCTCAGTGTTTGGGGCGTCGCTGAACGCGTTTTTCCAAAATAGCCCTGAGGTTGGGTTCTCGTTTAGTTGTCAAAGCGCGAGGGAGCGAGGGTCGGCGGCAGCGTTCAAGCCGCTGAGCTTTGCAGATGCCGGAGGGCGCACCGCCATCCGACGCGGCCTCCACCCTTGCAGCCGCCTCCGCCAAGGCCAATCCCGGCGCACGGACGGCCCCACCTCATTGTCAGCACCATCTCCGGACCAAACCCCACTGGCGCATGCGCGATATGACTTTGATATTGCTACGCAGCGGGGCGCGTAACGTTGTCATATCCTTGGTGCACGCGGGATTTGGTCCGGCAAGAACGTGGCCCGTGTGCCGGTGGGATTTGGCGTAGCGATGACGAGGTCAAGTCGTTCGTGTGCTGGTTGGATTTGGACAGTACCGAGAATGAGGTAGGGCAAAGCATTTGCCTCGGCAAAGGCCGCAAAGGTGCGTCCGAGGCAGAGTGCCGGAGGCCGTGCGCCGGTGGGGTTTGAGAACGTGACCGGTGGCGCCGTGCAGGTGACGGAGGATGCTTGGCGAGGTGAAGAAATATAATTAGAGGTGATATAGTTTGTGGGAAGGTGGGATTCGGTACGGAGATAGTACTGAGAATGGGGTGGTCGTCCATGTGCCGGTGCTTACCATGGTTAAAGTTTCTCAAGCAGGAAATCTAACCACTTGCTAAGTACCCTGACCCTTCAGAATGCCAACATGGTGGCACTCACGTGTACGGGAACACTCATGAGTGTTCCCGCAGTGGTCTGAGAAGGTTCTCTAAAAGCATGCTTAGCAGTGGAGCCATGAGTGCTGATGTGATGACGCAGCTGCTTCGACACATGGTTGGTCCAAGGCTGTGTAAGATCAGTTCACGAGTTATCACAAAGCACAATGGCATATGCAGATTGACTGCAAACGCCACATGTCCAAATTCGATTGCAGGCGGGCAACCGCCCGATGCGTTCTAAAAGGTTACAGGCGGCTAAAACACCTGGAGGGCGAAAGCTGCGTCACGCGTGTTTTCTCCTGGCTTTCTGCAAGTTGTCATCTCTGGCTCATGCTTGGCAGTGAACGGGAGAATTAGGACAGCGGAGGCTTTTGTTGCAGTTCGATTGCTCGAGAATCTGAATCAACAAACGGCAGCCTACGCACAGCAGAAATCCTTCTCAATGGGAAGCTGATACCTCCAATCGAAGCTATGCATGTAGCGAAACACATATGCGAGTGAAGCTGAGTTTGCATATTATGGTCGTTCGGTGATTGCCACCATCTGTCTATACCCCCAGAGTGAAGCAAGCGAGTCGTTTGCGTGCTCCCCTCGTCACAGGGACCCTTCTAGCAAATTCATGTTTGCTGGACAACCTGTATGCACAAACATGTGTGTTCGTGTGCAAGGCTTTCATGCCGACGCTAACACGCCCCCTCCCCCCCAACCTCCCCTCCCCCCCTGCTCACAACTGCAACCCAACACATTCCAGCCTGAAACAGCCAACAAACCACACACACCAAAAGCACCAGGTTTTTACCAGCCTGTTTCCCAAAAGGGCCATTTTCCATCCCACTCGCCGCCCGCCGGCCGTCGCCAGAGCCGCAGGGCGCAGCTCCGCGACGTCGCCGCGGCCGTGCTGCGCACGTGGCGCAGCGCGGTCGAGCTGCGGCGGCGCTGCGTGCGTGCGGGCGAGGCACGATGATCGAAACCATAGAGCCCATGGACCCCTTTAAAGGGCAACCCGAAGGAGGATGTTCAAGCAAGATGCACTAGGGGTGCTCACTTGCATAGGAAATGTGGACTTGCAGGCCAACCCTGCAAAAAAAGGGGACCGACCTACTTTGAGCAGCGACCAGGTGAGCCACAACCAATGCTAAACCTTGATGTTGAATCAGTCGTTCCATTGAAACCGGCGAGCCAATCAAAGCCGGACTGGTGAAGGTAGGCCATAGGTGTCCTTTCCATTCCTTTTCCAAGTTGTATCCTGTATCGGGGGGTTCCCCATCTATTTCTATCCAAAGGCCACCTTTGCTGAAGGCGTTTTTTCCCCCCAAAAAAAAGTCCCGATGTTTTTTTGTTTTGTTTTTTTTTTCCCCCCTGTATTTCTTTCCAAACAGTCCCGCGCTTTTCTTTTTTTTGGGGGGGCCAGCTGAGGCCTCGCGGGTTCGGACCCGCGAGACCTTGGGCCAGCTGCTGCAGAGCTGGGCTGGCGCGGCGGCCGGGTGTCCCGTAACGCGGTGCGCGGGAGGGTGAGCCACGGCCTCAAAACCTGGGTAGATGAAGGTTAGTAATGTTGACCCAGGATTAATAAACCCGTCCCCTAATAGGGTGTTCCCTCCAAAAGTGATGAATCCCCACTAAAAGGGGACACCCCCCTATTAATCAACCAGGGGTTTATTAATCCGGGGTTAACATTAAGGGACAATCCCAACCGCAAATAGCTGCGGATATCCGCCTTCTTACTTCTTGAAGCATGGTTCTGGGTCGACCATTTTAGTACCGGGTTCTTGCGGTTTTCGGAGAAGTGGCGGTCAGCTCACCAAGCGGTTTCCAGCCCGTGAAGGCGCCTTGTTCCGCCTCAAGTGGGCCTCTTCGGGCTTGTTTGGCAGTGTTTGGCCCGTTTTTGGCCTTCATCAAGCTGACTGCAATGGGACACCCCTCCAAAAGGGGGTACCCAGGTGATAAGATATTATCTGGGAACGCCAAAGGCGGGAATTTGCCTGAAGCCCGTAGATTGGCGGGCCTCACGTTCTGATCCGGTCGATTGAGAACTCCCCGTTGATATTTTGATTGGGAGGCGCGCAACCTGTAAGGGGATCGGATCACATTTGGCGGAACACCCCTTTCCATCCATAAATCCTTGGTCGACCTTATGTCTTGCAAGGGATGCTAAGGCTCGTTTACCCCTCATTTGCTCTTTCTTTGGGGGTTTTCCCTTCAGACTGGTGACTCCTTGGACATGGGGGTTTCCCTCCCACCCGACCTACCATACCTACCAGTGCAAAAAGCCCTTTGAAGCACCGTGGCTTGCCTCCGGATCGAATTTTCGCAATGCGTCCAACTTCATTGTTTGGTTTGGTGTCGGTCACTTACCTGTGTCGTAGCTTTTTGGCCCCGAACATGCAGAACGTGTGGCACACAAACTGGATGGGACATTTGAAGCGGTGCCAAAATCAGACAAAGATGGCCATGAATTTTCGAGGCAGAGACAGAATGCCCCTCACCCAACTGCCAGAACCTTTTGGCCTGGCAACATGTTTCTCTTATTGTCAGTTGCTTGTGTTCTCCGTTTTTTCAGGGAGCCTTTTTTAATAACCACGGCCAAGCCGCTGTAGAAAAGTGGCAGAGACTCGCGGTCCTTTTTCTCTTTTTCAGGGACCAACTTTTTACGCAAGGGTTGAATGAATCAACGCTGGTTTTGGTTTCCAAGCAACCGCAGGTTTGGCTTCTTTGCCGTTTAAGATTTCTTCGTTGGTGTTGTTAGCCCTAATTCCAAGGTTCTTTCACCCCCAGCCTCCAACCCCAACCTTCACCAAATGGACGCTTTCCAGCCCGAACCTCCACCCCGGCTCCAAAGGGAACCTGCGTCGAGCGATGGCCCGGCGCGATGCTTGGGATGTCTCGATTTTGGTGTCCCCGGACCTTCGTGCACGGCGGCGGATGGAGTTCAAGACGGGGCCTAGGGGGGTGGTTGGGCTTGGGGTGGAGCGGGGGTGGGGGTGTGTGTTCTTTTCTAGGTCCCCCAGTCGTGCCCTTTTTTGGTGGAGGGTTCCCTTACTAAAATAGACTACCGAAAAAAGAAACGGTACCAACTTATTCTAACCTCACTGGAGGGCCTAGTTTTGCTTGCTGGTCTTTTCGAGGCATTGAGAGAGCCCGGGGTTTGGGAAGGAACCGGTTTTGGGGATCCCCTAAAAGAAAGCCAGAGGTTGTTGGATGGTTTGTAGGGGTCATCCCAGTTCTCGTTCTGTGAGCTTTGGCTGAAACGCCGATTTCTCCCACTGCATGGATGGATGTTTCCCTAGTTCGATCCCCGCCGTGCTTGGGCTGTTTTGCCACATGTTGCCGTTACACACTGCCCGGACGGAGGCTGGCCATTTCGACGCTCTTCGCTTTTCCGAGATTCTAGACCTGTTCTTCAGCTTGTGGTCCGCCTCTCTCAACCCGCCCAATCACTTCGGTGGGGCTTGTGAACAACAACCCCCCTCCAAAATATCCACTTGTTTGGGGGTTCAGGGTGAGGAACAGCCCTGATTCCCCGCGTTTTTTTTTTTTTTTTTTTTTTTTAGAACGATCACCCTTAGGGGTTTGAGAAATACCCTGATTCCTCACTCAAAGAAAGAAACACATCACCCTCGGGGGTTGACATCCCGTCACCGCTGTCGTTTGGAGGGACCAAACGCGAGGACGGCGAAGTCCATGTCCTTCCCGCTGCTCCCTGAGAGCAGGGCAGCGGTGCCGTCAGGCGGGCTGGGCTGGGGTTGTTCGTTGCTTTTTTGGTGGTTCTTTTCTTTTTCGGTTGTTCTGTTTTTTGTTTTTGCCCCCTTGCGGCTCTTTTATTTGTTTGGCTGCTTTTTTTCTTCTGTTTTTTCTGTTATTTTCTCTTTTTTTCTTCTCTTCTTATCTTTTTTTGTGGCGTTTTTTTTTTTTTTTGCTTCTTTGTCTTTTGTTCTTTTTTTACGGCTGTTTTTTGGTTGTTATTTATTTTTGGCCGTTCTTTTTTAAGCATTTTGGTGGTTCTTTTCTTTGTGTTGGTTGTTCTTTTTTTTGGCGGTTCTTTTTTTTGCCCGTTCTTCTTCTTTTTAGCAGTTCTTTTTTTCTTCCTCTTTTTTCCCGCTGTCTTTTTGGCTGTTTTTTGGCGGTCATTTTTGGGTTGTTATGTTTTTTGTTTGGCTGTCCTTTTTGCCTTGCTAAGGTGCTTACCTCTGATGCGAGAGAGAGGGAGAGAGATCCAGGTTCAGGGTTTCCGAGCCATTTCCGGACCCGCCTTCCCCAGCTTGAATTGAGGACCAGACTTAAGACCCTACTTGGGGCAGACGCGGGACGTCAATGGTCATACCCCACCTGCCAGGCTTGCAAGTTTGAGAGGACGGGTTTTGACCAGGGCCAACCCTGCCCCTTTCACGGAAAATGGCACCCCTTCAAGGATGGGGCTCAATGAAAAAACGACTCACCCAAATACTGCCAGTTCCTTGGATCTGAGAAACGTTTGGTGGGTTTCGGTGTTTTTTTTGACCCCGGGCTGGTGCCTCGGGGCTGCGCTGGGCGCGAGGCAAGTCGCAAGTGAGGGCCTTCTCGGTGGATACCTTGCCGGTGCAAGCCTGCCGCTTCGAGCGCCAAGAAAAATGGGCGGAGGGAGAGGAGGGGGTTCCTTTTCACTCTGTGAGAGAGGTGGAAAAATGTGGAAATGGGTGGGGTTTAGGGGTTGGGGGGTTGGGTTGGGGTGAGGGAGGGGGGGTGGGGTGTGACCGAGTTTCCGGGTTTCGGGAATGAACCTAGGCTCCCCGAAACAGAAACCATAGGGATGGTGTATAGGCCCTGCTGAGAACCAGCAAGTTTAGGATTCAGGCCCCCCCCCAAAAAAGACAAATGGCGATGGTTTTCCTGTGTCCTCTTAAAGAACCACAAAACTCCTGATGGTGGCTGCTTTGCCACATGCCGTTGTTGCACATTGCCGGATGCATGCTTTGCCGTTTGTTTAGACTTGCAACTTCGACGTTCCTGGTTTGTCTGGGTTTGATTTTGGTTTCCCACCTGCTGCTGTGGTTGCCATGTAGACTTCTTCTGCCTCATGAGCTCGCTTGCAGTTGTTGGTTCATTTTCCCATTTTGGACGGTTGAACAGTCACTTTCGGTTGCTTCCCGTGATCAAGTTGGGCTGGTGTTCAATAAAGTTGTTTTTCTTCTCTTTTTTTTTGGTGTGGGGGGCGGGGGAAGGATGGTGCAGTCTTCAGTTGTTCGAAATGCAGAAGGAGCTGGAAAGCGAGCGGAGCGTCAGGACAGTTCAAGTAACAAGCGGGTTCTGATCGCTTGCAGCTTGCACAATGCATGTCGCAGGAACTCCTGTGATAGAACCCAAACGGGTCACCCAACAAACCCGATCGATCGCAGAATTCAAAAAGTTGAGTCATCCATCGCACCCAAGGAACCACAGGAGCCGTAGCAATTGGCTCAGGCTTCGCATGCTCCCCGCCAGGGGACATCGGGGGTACATAATATATATATATATATATATATATAACTATTATATGGGATACGTACTTTAGCTTCCCGGCGGTTTGGTAGTGGACAGCCAAAAATTGCCCAAGTTGCCCAAATGTCCCTTGCAACCGGCCGCCCTTTTGTAGAAGAGCACCAAGTCAAAAACCTTTCGGCTTCCTTGTTGACGCCTTTGGATTCCTTAGGCTTCCCCCCTGGTTCCTAGGTCCCCCCAGTGCCCTTTCACCAACTTTTTTTGGGGAGGGTTCCCCTACTAAAATAGACTACAGAGACCATTTCCCTTTAAAGGCACCCCCCAAACGTCAGGCTCCATGTAATTGGTGAGAGGGTTTCCTTAGGCTTCCTTGTTGTTCGTTGGGATCTGTTAGGGTTGAAGCTTCCTCCGTCCGTCACTGGGGCGACCCTTCTGCTCCTTAGGGCGACTCCTGCTGCTTCCTTCCTCTCGGGTGCCCGCTTCGGGCGGCCTCCGAGGCCGGCGGGAGGCGCCTCAGCGGCTCCAGGGCCGCGCGCGCTTGGTGCGGAACGTCTTCGCGGCGCTGGTGGCGTGCTTCATGGGCGCCACCGATGGCCTGTCCCTAGGAGCGGCGGGAGATAGGGGGGGTGGGGGGTTGGGTTTGGGGCGGGGGGAATTTGGGGGAATTTGGGGGAATTTGGGGGAATTTGGGAAATTTGGGGGAATTTGGTAATTTGGGGGCAGGGGGAGGGGGGGTTGAGGCGCTTTCCACTGGTCAGCAATCCCTGGGCAATCTTGGCACTCTGGAGGGGTCATTGGCAATAGTTGAACATTGGACCCTGGCACCGTTCAAAGGGGAACCAAAAGCAGGTTGAAACACGGCGATGGTTCTGTTGTTCAAGCATGTGTTGCCCAGACAGCTTGTTTCTTTTCCTGCCGAGGTATTAGAAGCATAGCCGTTTTCTTCACATTTTTGTACTTAAGTATTGCCCTTGTTTGCGGATAATAGAAAATGGATCTGGGGGCTCGGCCGCATTTGCAACGGCAAGGAGAGAACCTGAACAGGTGTCGGGGTACACGGCCAGGTCCCCCAATACTGTCTCAAATCTGGAGGGCCTAGATGGGGTCAAGCAGGGAACTCCGTGGGTTGCACCGCGAGCACCACCTGGCGGTCAGGCGGCCTGATCTTCCCCTCCTCGCCGGAGCACCCGCCGCCCGGTGGAAGCGATGCGGCGGGCAGCGTTTGCAGTGTTTTGTTTTTTTTGGATTGGGGTGGACCCTCAATTGGGCTAGGTCCCCCAGCAGTGCCCCTTTCTCACCCTTCCCCTACTAAATACAAAAAAAAAGCCACGCTTATTGCAACCTCGACCTAGTGGTGGTTTGGATTGGTGGGAACTGGGGATTTGAACCCCTGGCACTTGTAATCAGGAAGTAAATGTTTCGTGTTTTTGATTGGGGTGCATTTCTTGCAGCTCCCTCAAATCAGGTGACCCTTAAATCAACCTGGCAATTGTAATTAGGAAGTAAATGAGAAACCGTCTCTGACCACCCAACCACCAATTCAAACCACCAATCAGAGGGAAGACTGACTAAAGGGACACCAAGGGCAAGCTGACAATTTGTGACAACCCTTTCGAGTCATCCCTTTTTTTCAGGGGTGCTGAGAGGTTGGATTGGTTTCCCGCTCCAGGGCCGCATGTGTACCCTTGGTGCAACTACCCGCAAAGTGCAAAACAAACATCTTCTAACTTTCGTTCCGAGTACTTTCAACCAAAAGGGGAGGGTCAAGATCCAAAGCTCACTTGCCCAAACCCGACCTCTTGACATTTTAGTTTTCCAATTTTGGTCCATTTTTAGTAAAGGTCCCAAAAGGTTAACCCTTTACTGTATTTCCAGGTCTTTTGGTCAAGATCCAAAGTTACAAAACCAGGATTTTGTTTCTCGCGGCAAGCAACCGCTCCCGGTCGATCTCCACGGTCTCGAAGTCTTGCCTGGATGTTCGAGACAATTCCTATGGGGGCTCAATTTTTTGAACTGAATCCTTGAGAATCCGAGTTCCCTTCTTTTTTTGGGGAGTGGTGAAGTGCCCACAAGCACATTGCCTTCCAATCGTTTTCGGGCTGTCTTGGCACCTGTACCAGCCCGGCCGGGTCAAATGTTCTGGCGGTTCCTCCTTCGACATTCGGAAAGGGCGCAGAAGAGTATTTTTTCACAGGTAGGTTTCTACTTAGGGGTTATTCAGGTTCCGGGAGCCCCTGCCACAAGCGAATGTACCCGGGATGAAGGATATGCTATGCCGCAAAAGATTGGGGCGGGGGGGGGGGGGATTGTCTCCAAAAGTTGTTGTTAAAGTAACTGGTTGAAGCGATTTAACACCAACAGGCGGGGGAGTCCCCCACAAGGCGCACCGTGGTTTTTTGTTGCTTTGCCGGGGCTGTGAGGAACCACGAGTACCAAGCCCTGGGCATGTCCATCGGCTTGCTGACCACGTGGCTTGGCCGAGGCAACCGCAGCCTCGCAGGCTTTTTTCGCGGGCTCGCCCAATATCACGAAAGGTAGCCTCAAGGAGGGTGGGTTAAGGTAGTCTCCCCTTCTCAGGTGGGTTTTGTCTCAAAGTACCCCACAATGAGCTTATGGAATGTGTGGTGCGAGGGGGGGGGGGGGGGGGGGAAGGTAAAAACGGGGTTAGTAGTTGAGAGCCCTAGGGTTCCGGCAGATGAGTCAAGGCAAAAGGCTAGAAAGGCTCTAGGAGAATCTTCGGGGGGAACCCTGGTTCCGTGTTTGGAGGCATCCTCTGGGAGCCAAGGGCAGGCCAAAAAGGAAAGCAACCAGGGTTCCTCAAGGCTCCCTAAAGAACCCTAGGGACCGACCCTCCCTGCTCGAATTGCAGACTCGCCAGTCAGCCACACTCGGGGTCCCTCTAGCTTGACACTCTGGGTCCCTTTGGCTCCTTGCCACTAGGAACCTGGTCACCGGGTGGGTTGCTCATTTTGAGTATGTCAAGTGGTGAAAGACGAACTGGCAGGTGGCTCGACCAGCTAAAATGCAGCTAACTTTCCTGGGTGTCCCCTAAAACCCCACCAAGAATCGGGGGGACCAACTCAACAAAAGGTGAAACACGCGAGCCACCCACAAAAAAATCGACCCCCCCCCCCCCAAGGAAAGTGATGCCCCCCACAGGAAAACAAACTCTTCGCCCCCCTCCGCCCAAAAAAAAGAGAGCCAACAAAAACAAGAAGAAGGCGACACCCACCTCAAGAAGTGAGAGAAAACATGGGCCAAAACAACGACCCCCCGAAAAACAAACAAACACATGAAACACCGCAAAAGCCACCCCCCCCCCCCCCGTCCAAAAAAATAAGAGAAAGAAGCACGCAACACATCACACACACACACAAAAACACGAAACAACCCAAAAAGGCCGGCGAACCCCCCGCCCTTCCAAGAAGAAAACTGGAGAATCACAAAAAACAACACAACACACAAAAAAAACCACACCCTCCAGATCCCTCGGCATGTTTTCGCTCGAGGCTGGTGGCCAACACCGGGGGCCTCCTCGGCTCCGAGTTCAGCTTCGGCGTGGCCGGCGCCAGCGCCTCGCCTTTTTTCCCACGTGGCGCTTTGGGTGGGGATGTTGGGGATTTTTCCGGGGACCTGGGCGTCTAGGTGGCCCAGCAATCGGTGCCTTTTTCTTTTTCCCTTTTACCCACTTTTTTTGTTGGGAGGGTTTTTGTAGGAAAATAGAGCACTGTTGGTACCAACTTATTCTAACCTCTCAAATCTGGAGGACCTAGGCTTAGTCCGGGTGAGGCGCCCAAAAAATGTGGGAAGCTCCCGGATTTTAGGCCAAACCCCCAAGAAAGGACTTGGCGCCGCGAAGCTAGAAGTTGGAGCATGGGCACCATTTTGGGCCCCATTTTGGAGGCACGGAACTTAGAAGTTGAAACTAGGCAAATGCCAAGGAGTTGCCAGTTTTCCGTTGGCCTCACTCACTTTTTCCAACCCGAGAGGGGAAACCGTTGGGATTATGTGACATGGCTTTTGGTGGCTTTCTCCCTTGGTTGGCGCACTCAACCATATTCTTTTCGTTCTGAGGGTGCTGGGAGGTTGACGGATGGATTCGCCCGTTTTGTTGTGGTGGGTGGTTGGTCTCCCCACTTTCAGCATCCTACTAATTTGATACGGGGTGTCACCCACAAAAGTGACAAATCCCCGCCCCCTATTAAGAAACTAGTGTTTATTTTTCCGGGGTTCCCATTACATGGGCAAGGGCATAGCTGTCCTACCAACTGTCCCAACCCAGCCATACCCCGACCATCCCAATCTTCGTCTATCTATAGGTCCTCGCGGATTCTCTGGGCAATCTGCATGTTTTATTTCCGGATAGGCCCTTATTATTTTGGTTGCCATTTTGGGGTAGAGCGTACTTTATGCAATCCCTTGCGAATCAATTGGTTATTTGGATTTATGATTTGGACTTGAAATCAGTTTCTTGTAGAGGGTAAAGGGAAGCCACCCAACCACCAGTTACAGGGAAGCTGTTCGAGCCTTAGTGTTTGAGGAAAAGGGGTATATAGGGGGAGGGTTTGGCATCCTATGACTTTGTGGCGAATGCTTCGGTCAGTCGGAGCCAATTTCGAGCCCGCCCTGAACCTACGGATCGCTCGGATCCTTTTGAGGACCTAAAGTGGCAGTTTCAGTGGAACCGACCTGCTGTCCAGAAACCTTGAATCCACCAGAGGGTCCCTTTTTAAAGGAACATGGTCCAACCCGGGACCACGTCAGGTTCCATGTTGGACATGAGGGTAACTCGATGAACATCCAGCCCCTTTTTCCTTTCATTGGGACTCCCATAGACCCATTTACCAGAAAAAGGCCAGAAACCGGAGAACGATAAGGTGGCGGTTTCAGTGGATCCCGCCAAATTGATCAACCTTTTGGTGGAAACTCAGTGACCCGCAGGCACCGTGCTTAGTGGTGGGCTCAAACACAACTGCCACTTTAGGTTCCAACAAAAACATATGGGTATGGGTCAACATTGAACCGCCAGCATTTACGAAATTTACAAGGGCGAGTTCCATTTTGGGGTGATCCGATTTTTGACCCACATATCCATATATGTATATACATTTGACCCTATTTTGAGCCTATGTTTTGGGTTACCCAGACCCAGTGACCGAATATTCTGAGGCATCCCCACGGTCATCATCTTCGCAGAGCACTTTAAGCGCATGGGCCCCGGCAAGTGCTCCACCATCTACTTCATGGTGCGGGCCCCAAAAGAGAAAACGGGCGGGCGCCCGTACCGCCGGCCCGGGCTTGTTTTCTTTTTCTTCATATTTTTTTTTTGTGGGGGCGGTGGGAGGGTGGGTGGGAGGGCGGGTGGGTGGGTCGGTTGTTCATTTTTTTGGTGGGGGGTCCTTTTTTGGCGGGGCATCACTTCGGGCGGAGGCTTAGCCGAGGCCGAGCCCGAAGATAGCTGCAATGAGAAGCATTAAGCAAAGACTCTCGTAGATGCCACCAGCGACATCTCGATTGACAGTTTTTCAATGCATCCACGAACCCCAAAGACACTCCCCAAAAGACATCCCCGAAAGAAATCCCCCGCAAGGCCAAAGACATTGTCATCCTCGAAGACATCCCCCACACACATCCCCCCAAGACAACCTCGGAAGACATTCCCAGAGACATCCCCCCAAACTCATCCCCAAAGACATCGTCCAGGACAGCCGCAAAGACAACCCCAAAGACACCCCCACCCACATCCCCCAAAGGCAACCCCCAAAAGACATCCAAGACATTCGCAAGGACATCCGCGAAGACGTTCCTCAAAGACGTCTCCCCATGACATCTTCGAAGACATTCCCAGGCTCCTGAGTGCTGCGCCTGTCAAGAAATCTGAGCGCCAAGCTCCATAGCATTGCACCGGCCACGAAATCTGCACGTCAAGCTCGAAAGTACTGCGCCTGCCGCAATATCTCTCGCCAAGCTCTACGCGTCGGAACATGCCCCCCCTTTTTCAGAAGAAAGCCTAAAGTCAAACACAGTCCAACAAATCCCCCCCCCACCCCCCCCCCCAACCCCTTCCCCCCCCGGAGGGCGGGTGGCTGCAAATGCGACAAAACTGCCATTGGTCCAAGGCAGCGGTGTCCTCCATGTTGGTGGGTGTGTGCATTTGGCTGGTGGGATGGCTGAAGCTGGCGCGCCTGGTGAAGGCGCGCGGGGCGGGTTGTAAAACTCGAGGGTCCCCCAGCACTGCCCTTTCTCAACCCCTGTTTTGGGGGGAGGGTTTTCGTCTACTAAAATAGACTACAGAAAAAAGGGTGCCCTTATTCTAACCTCTCTACTGGAGGACCTAGAACATTGGGTGGGATCTTTAGACTTCAACTCTTTGGTTGAAATAAAGCCGTTTTTTTCCGGCCAACCCCCCCCCCCCCCCAAAAAAAAAAAGAGTTGAACTTTTTGCAGGGGGGGTCAACGGCGACCAAGGTTGGTCGGACAGCTCGTTGCGACCATATCAGGCCCAGGCCCCTTGAAAGCGATCCTCGCTGAGTGTCGATCGCCATTTCCCGCTCACGATGGGGAAGCATATGCTAAGCGAGACCTTAGGTTGCCCGGAAGATACACCCAGAGACGCCGGTTTCAACAAGTGCCCTGTGAATTTTAGTAGGGCATCACCTCACAAGTGGTGGACGTGAATCCCCAAATGATGTGCAAAGGGTCCTACACGAGAAGTTTACTCAAACATATGCCACCAAGATCAGACTCGCCACCAGTTTTCACTCAAACCGCAGGCGTGCCCCTTCGTGATCTACGGGGGCTTCATGGCCGGCACCGGGGCAGAGCCTTGTCTTCGAGACGGGCTTTTTGCCTGAAAGATAGATGGCACTGGTTTAGCTGGGTTTTGTTCCGTTTACCAGGTCCATCGATTTCCAAAAGGCCACCTATGGTCCTGAACGTGTTTCTGGGGGTCTGATGGTTTCTTCAGAGGAATCCCCACAGATAAGAGAGGGGAGTGGATGGCTATCGCATCTGTCACTTTCCCTCGCTGCTCGTCATTAACTCTCGAGTGAGGAAAAAGAACGAGGGAGAGAGAAGATGGCATCACATTGCCTCTTTCTTCATAGCTGATGCCATCTCGCCTTCCCTCTCCATATCTTTTCCTCACCAATTCTTGGCTGATATTAGGGTGAGGGGGCATGGACGAAGATTTCCACGGCCTGGTGGTACACTCAGACAAATGATTGGCGGAGCATCTCCTTTCCATTCCGTTCGTTCTGATACTAGCTTCTGCCTTGACACACATAGTGTTTATTAATCTTCATCTTAGTCTACTATTTGTAATTACAGGATGGAGATAGAAGATGTATGCAGGAAGCCAGATATACATTGAGATAGCGAGCAAAAAACATGTGATATGAAAGTGAAAGAGATACGAAAGATCCTGTCAATAAAGACACTTAAAGATAGACAGATAGGAAAAGTTAGTATAATAATAATTATAATTATTGACAAGTCATACATAAAATCCACCAAAAGGTCCACAAGTAGCATCTACCTCCATGTGAGCGGGAGGGTGTTGCTCTACCTAGAGCGCGACAAGTGGACCGCGCCCGAAAAAGGTGCTGCTGCAGTACGCGTTGAACCTCATGACTCCGGGCTTCACCAGCGCCTCGGAGGGAAGGCAGAGGGGTCAGCCGCTTCTTTGCCACAAAGCGTCTGGTCCCCTTTGAACTGTCCGGTTTTGATGGGTCCTTGGTACCTCTGTAGCAGGTACTTCACGTGCTGTGGGGGTTATGGGGGAAAGGGATTTGAACGCGTCTCGGCGTGGGCTTGGGTGCTTTGCCCCATTTGTTTTTCGCGGATTTCTTGTGGCTAGCTGGGAAAAAACATGTCCCTTTGGGAGAGAAAACCAGCCCCTGATTTCGGCGAGACCAAGATTTCCTAGGTTCACTTTCCCAGGGGCCAACCGGTGGCAAGCGCACGCAGGTCTGCTTCCCTTTTTTGAGTCGCTGGCCCAGGCACGCCGAAAGGCCGTGCCTTTTTGCTGGGAGGAGCCGGTTCGCCTCAAAGTCACGGAGCCTCCAAAGGGTGCATTTCCTGGTTTCCCTTCAAGTCAACCAGCAGGGAGTTCCCCACAAAATATGCCCAGTTTATGGGTCAAGTAACCAGCGGCTTGTGGGATGCCATTCGCCAAAAGGAACCGGCTCGAACCGGCCTGGGTTCAGGAAAGGTGGGTCCAATCAGCTTTTGACGGGTGACATGCGCCAATGATCATGGCGAACGGCTGGCGTCCCACGTGGCTGTTCCTTTCAAACCAAGCCCAACAAGTCAGTTTTGTGTACCGATTCAGAGCCCAAGGCGGCAATCAGTGACAATTAGTGATCGGCTTTCGGGGCCAAGAACTTTTCTTCCTGTTGACCCTGGATATTTTTAAGCCCGCCCTATTAAAAGTGGGCTGATTCCCCACTCAAAGGGGACCCCCCCCAAAACCCCAACCGGGGGTTCTGCTTAGACCTGGGTTCCCATAGGAGGCTTTTGAAGTCCTTCCATGGCTTTCCTCGAGTGGGGACCCAGCCGAACCGAGGCCTGACGGATCCTGCAAGCTACGGATGCTTGGCGGATACCCAGCACCTCTCCTGAAAGAACATGTATGAAAATCGACCGGTGGAAACACCCCGGGGGCTCGGCAATTTGAGTGTGTCTGTTTTCGATCCGCGGTGAACCCTTTTGATTGGTTCAAAGGGAAACCACAAGGAAAACACATTGTTTTTCTTTGGGGGGGGGGGGCTCCCCTAGACCAAACAAACACCAGTGTGGCTGGATTTTTCCGCCTTGACTTGTTTGGGATCTGATTCTAGGGGTGCCTTCCCCATTCCTTCCAGGCATCCTGCTTTCTACAACACCACCCAAAACCCTTCCGAAACAGCTGGTTTATGAAAAGAGCCATGGTTGAAAAGAATGGTAAAGGAATCAACCCCTAAACGCAGAGGTCCTTTACTTGGACATGGATCCCTTGCTTTCAGGTCTTGGAACACTTGTAGAACACGCCCCAAAAAGAGCCGGGTATTCTAATTTGATTTAACCCCTAGGTTGATGACTTGACCCAGACGTCTATTTTTTCCTCTTTTTTGTTTGTTTGTTTTGTTTTAAAATAAAACAAACAAATGCAAAAATATATAAATAAATAAAATCCTCGCCGTGGAGAGTCTGTATCTCTGCTCGTAGGCTGCTGCAGCTCTGGGTGCCTGGCGCGGTGGCGGGGGTGGGGATGTTCGCGCTGCGGGCTACCAACGTCAAAGTGCCGCGGATCCCGCAGGCGCGGCCCGGCGGGGGCCGCGAGGGCCGCGAGGGGAAGTGTTCGAAAGTGGGGGACGCCTGGTTGGTTTGGTTGGTTGATTGGTTGGTTGATTGGTTGGTGGCTTTGCTTTGCTTTGCTTTGCTTTGCTTTGCTTTGCGTTGCGTTGCGTTGCGTTGCGTTGCGTTGCTTTGCTTGGCTTGGCTTGGCTTGGCTTGGCTTTGGCTTGGTGGGTGCTTGGGTTTGGTTGGAGCTGGAGCTGGGTTGGGCTGGGTTGGGTTGGGCCGGCGGGCCGGTGGGCCGGTCGGTTGGTCGGTTGGTCGGTCGGTCGGTCGGTCGGTTGGTTGGTTGGTTGATTGCTTGGTTGATTGGTTGGTTGGTTGATTGGTTGGTTGATTGGTTGGTTGCTTTGCGTTGCTTTGCTTTGCTTGGCTTGGCTTTGCTTTGGCTTGGTGGGTGCTTGGGTTTGGTTGGAGCTGGAGCTGAGTTGGGCTGGGTTGGGTTGGGCCGGCGGGCCGGTGGGCCGGTCGGTCGGTTGGTCGGTCGGTCGGTCGGTTGGTTGGTTGGTTGATTGGTTGGTTGATTGGTTGGTTGGTTGATTGGTTGGTTGATTGGTTGGTTGCTT